CATCTCCTCTGACCAGGCCTCAAGGCTGACATTCACCAGGGTTCCCTGCCACCCTCAACCCCACGTTGGTCTTCTCTTCTCACCCTTTATACTTCCCCTGAGCCAGCTAATGCATTTATCATGATTTCTGTGATCATCCTCCCTGTCCCTGAGCTCTATACCTGTGTAAATAATGATAGATAATCTATTAGCCACCTTTGCCTGATTTTCCAGCATTCAACAATGAATTACGTCTTGAACACCTAGAATGTACCAGGCTTGGGATATATCAAGGAACAAAACACAGATTCCTGCCTTCATGGAGCTTGCACTTCAGGGACATGTTGCCAAACTTGGTTTGCTCAAACAGAACCAACTCCCAACCCTGCTCCCCTGCTCTGTGCCTTTTCAAGTAACCAGCATCACCATTAACCCACCTCACCTTCACAAGGTATCAAATCCTGTCAGGTTCACTTCTAATTAGGTCTCAAATCATTGATTCCTTTCTGTGACTTCATCCCAGCTAGTTCAGGCCTCTTTGGCCCCGCATTGGCACCTCCCCCTGAAATCCCGCCCCCTCCAGCCGCTTTCCATGCTGCTACCACAGTGGTCTTTCCGAAACATGCATCTGAGCATATCAGTCCTCTGCTCTGACCATTCCCCACTGCTCAGAGGATACCAGGCCCTCTGCCATCTGGCCCAGCCTCTACTACTAGACTTACCTTCCATTATACCCCGAGTTATACCTCAGCCCCCTATTCATTCACTTCCATGACTCTTTGTCCTCTGGCATGTTTAGCGCCCTCCTCATCCTCTCTCCTCCTGGCCTGATAAGTCCCTACTTATCCTTTAAGGACCAGCTCGACTGACAGCTCTTCTTGGAAGACTTCCTGTATTCAAGCAGGCATTTAGTTGCTTCCTCCTCCTATTCCATTTTGATATCGTACTGATCTGCTTCTGGTTTCCCTCCCCTCCACACAGAGAACACAGTGAAGTCAAGAATCATGCTGTCCATTTTGAACTACCCCAGACATCCTCCCAACACCGTGTCTGGCATGCAAGACATGTTCAAATAAACAGCTATTCATTTTTGGTAACCTTCTAACATTAGATATAGAAGCCCTCTGCTCACCAGTAAGCAGAGGGCTTAAATTCACTGGCAAGAATTCTTTTTCTGAGGACAGTAGGTATTAGATTAAATAAGGTAATCACTCACTTCACTTCTGGAAGCAACAGCCCGGTGCAGTGGGGTCAGCCACATGTTGTCCTTGGCATTGACACGAGCTCCTGGAACCAAACAGCACAAGTTAGAGGTGTAATGGAGTCAAGGGAAGTTCTGCTGACATTAAGTCAAATGCTGTATCTTGTTCCCATTTGCTGCATATAACCACCAGCTTTGTTTTTCTTTGTATTACTCATGTTCTGATAAGATTTAATCTGGGCTAAGGGGACCAGCATAAATCTGCTTTATCTAGAACCCCAATTATTTCTCTAGGACTAACCAGTTATCTCTGGAGAAAGAAGATTTTGGACAGACAAGATATGATGCCTATGTAAATTGCTCGTGGCTCTCTCAAGCTATGGGGTGGGCGCACAGGCTCACGCATGAGCCAAAACCAGCTCCCACTCAGAGACGTGCCTCCTGCTCTACTCTATGAAGCCACGCCATCACCATGGAACAGACGCTCCCTGTGAGTGGATTCACAGAAGCAGAGTATGCCTCCTTCCATGACACCCTCCCAATTCACCATCACGAGCACAAGCCCACCAAGTCTGCATCTAAGCAGCTAAAACACCCAACACGAGCTTCCTTTTGGGGAGTTCAGAGTTTTGGTCAGTTTTCTGGTCAGAGATGGAATGTTTTATAAAAGGGCTACAAAAAGGGAAGAGGAGAAAATATATATGGTATCTTTGTAAATGCAATTAGAGAAGCCTATTTTAGCCTTAGGACAAAGAGGAAGGAAGCTCATGAGGACTAAGGGTGGAAGGACAAATCAAGAAATTAGAAAGTAAGGCAGAGGCGGAGGTGCCTCGGGGGCAAGCACCGAGAAAGTGAGTCAGGTGGAAGTAGAGGCTGACTAATCTTGGTGAGGCCAAGGCCAGCCGACAGCTGAAAAATAGAAACCTCTAAAAAAGGCAGCAGACTTTCAAGGGCAGCAGACTTTCAAACCAAGCTAGAAGTTTAGTTTAAGGCACTGGCTAAAAAGAAGTGACAAATCATAGAACTTATACTATTTTTTTCTTTAACTGAAGAAGAACAAATGCAACAGTATTAATCATAGAGAACAAGAGTGTAATCCATAAAACAAAGAGATAGAACGCCTCCCCTTCAGCCACCACTCTGGTTTCTTTGGTTTGAGATGGAGTCAGGCACGTGTATGTTTTAAAAGCTCCTCAGAGGTTATTGCAATATGCTGTCAAGGTTGAGAGCCACTGATGAGTTGTTGCTTAATTTACCAATGTTAAACTTGTTTAATCCTAATTCTACTAAGTCCAACTTGCCTGAAAGGGTTCAAGCCCCTTACCTCAATGAAGACTATAATAAAATCAGTTTAAGTATGCAAAGGCAGCAGGCATCTCCAGCCCTAGTAGCAGGAAGCTGTGGGCTAAATGCCCTGGGGTAAAATGAACATGGAAGGTGAGTAGGATTCATAGTCAGAAGATCCAGATTTGAGTTCTGATTTCAGCACCATTTGCCCAGTGACCAAAAGCCACTAATCTGTAAAATGAGGCTAACAACAACAATAACAGTACTTCTCTACCCACTTCATGGGGTGCTTGGGAGAATTAAATGAATATGAAGGTGCTTTGTAAATGGCAAAGCCCTAGGAAAATATTAGCAGCTCTTATTTCCAAATCATCTCAAATGTCTCATTCACCACTAAATCTATGACTCAGATTTTCAAAGGGAGTGAAAGGCATGGTCCTTGCCCTACAGAGCAAGAGGAAGTCAAATACGGAGATTTAAGAACAGGAAGAACCATCATCCAGAGACTGTATAAACAAGTATCTTTTGAAGAGCAAGGGAGACTCAAGTGCTAGAAAATGCTGGGGAGAAGGAAACCCAGACATGATTAAGAACAGCAAAATGGGCGAATTTTAAAAGAAAATTGCCACTAGCACAAACAAATTTCCTCTCCTAAGTCTTAGTTCCCAACAGAGTGCCCAGTGCTGGTCACAAAACCCACCGTTTTGGTTTAGAAACAAACAGCACTGATCCCTTCAGGTCCTAGTATTTCCTCTTCCAACATTCTGGAAGCTATTAAACCCTTCTAAAATTAGCCACTTTGTTGTCAGGACTTTTCTAGGGTCATAAATACATATGACCACATTCTGTGGTAGATTCGACTGCGTATCTCTCTGGTCAGCCCAATGCACGTTTGTTACTTATTTGGGAGCTGTTTCTTTGGCACTCATGTCACAAACATCATTCAGACTTCATGCAGTCTGGGAGGGCTAGATTCACATTTATCATTCATAGTCTTTGGCAGAGTAAATTGTGTGCTTTAAATTTTCTGTAAACTCAAAAAGTGAATGCAAGAAGAAACCCTAATGGCAAAACATATATGGAGAGATACTTCTCATAATTCATCAGGGAGGAGCAAACGAAAGCAACATTAACACACCATTTCACACCCATCAAATTGGTGAAAATGATAAAGTGTGACAATGCCAAGAGTTAGCAACAGGAAGACTTAATGTACAGCTGGCAGAAGTGTGAATTGGTACAACCCCCTTTGGGAAACAATGTGGCATTACCTAATAAAATTGATGGCATGCATGCCCTGCCACTAGCAACTCCACCTCAATCGTATACCCTGGAGAAATTCACACATGTATAAAAATATTCACCACAGCATGTTTGTAACAACAAGAAATTGGAATCTTTAATGTTGATCAAGAGGAAAATGGACAAATAGATCATAGTATAATTGTACAATGGAATTCTACACTGTCAAGGAAATAAACAGCAGATTGAAGTTCTATATATAAACAGATGTACTTCAAACTAATGACACTGAATGAATAAATCAAGTTACAGAATTATACCTAAGGCATAATACCAGTTATATTTCTATGTGTTGTTTATGGATGCATAGATATGAAATGAAAGTAAAATATATGGCTAAAGAGAATAGATGCCAATTCTGGACGGTGGTTGCTTCTAGGGAGGGAGGAGTGTGAAAAGAGATGAAGTAAGAGAACCCAAATGGCTGCAAATGTGTCTTCAATGTTTTATTTCCTTTAGAAAAAAGATATAATGCAAATATGGCAAAATGTTAAGATTTCTTAAAACTTGGTAGAAGGCATATGGCTTTTCATTATATTATTCTCCATAATTTTCTGTATGTTTGAAATAGTTTCTAAAAAAAATCTTTTTAAGAAAGCTAGTGCATTTGAAGTTTTATGTTTCTTAATAAAAATAGCAGAGTGGAAGTGGGGGTAGGGACTAAATTGCTTTTTGTTATACTATTTTTCTTTTGGGTTAGTGGCCTTTGATAGAAAAACAACACTCCCTATCCTTCCCGTATGTAAAGTGGCCCAGCCACACAGTGTCTTCCAGGATTTTCCTAAGCTGTACTCCAGGTGAGAGTAACAGAATCGGAGCAAGAACTGCTGTTCGATCTGTAGATGACCTTAGTCATATAGTCTGAAGTTAAAAAAAATAAATTCAAGTTAATGATGAGTTACTTGCTGGTCTTACTGTTATTTTCTCATGCTTTCCTCTCTCCACAACCACTGCAGTGATCCCAGCTGCAGAACGGAGGCACAGTAACACTGAAGTCCATGCCTATGCATACGTGGGAGAGCGCTACAATTTTAGGGCATCTTTTGCTGTCTCTCTAAGTGCCATTTTATTATCACCACATTTTGAGCCTGAGCATCTCATCCCAGGGCCCCCTCACCATCCAGACCACCAGGACACCGAAGAGGGAGGGTGCCTGTGATGTGTGTGGTACACGCCCAGACCTGTGGCCACCTGTTTTGGCCACTGCAAATCCCAGTTGGACCTCCGATCTTGCTCTCTTTCTTCTCCTTGCTCCTTCTCCTCTCTCCCTCCCCCCGCTCTCTGTTATACACACGACCCATTTCTGTTTTCTGTGTGTGCATTAGAATGCTCTATAACATGTTTCTAAAGGAAATAACTTTGGGTAAATGTTAAGACTAATCTTCCAGGATGTTTTATGAAAGGTTGGTCATAAAAGTGAAATACTAAAAACAACTTTGATGTTAGACAAAGAAGAGTTGGTTAAATAATTTACTATATAACCATACAATGCAGCCATGATATTTTATAAGAATGCTTAACAAACAGGAGAGATATTCACAAACTATTATTATGTGAAAAAAGTAAATACTCAAACATTACTCACAGAATGATCCCATTTTTGTTAAAACATTGAACAGTCTAGAATGACATACCACAAAAGCCCTGAGATCACTGAAGATAAAACTATTTGCTAATCATTATTGGCGCACAGCCAGGAATTAAGGAATAGAGACTGGGAAGCATATGCCATTGGCATAAGTTTAAGCATAGGGCAGACCTAAACTAATAGTTGCTATTTGAAAGACGCTTCCTGGTTGAAAGTGATATCCGGCAATAACTCTTCAACTAAACTGATATGAATTGAAGCTATGAAAATTTGACTATCTAAATAAATGAGCAGCAATAAACCTATTTTACTTCAAGTTTTGGTCATAAAAGTAATACATGAATGTATTCTTCTTTTAAAAAATGGATCATTGGCTGGGCGCGGTGGCTCACGCCTGTAATCCTAGCTCTCTGGGAGGCCGAGGCGGGCGGATTGTTTGAGCTCAGGAGTTCGAAACCAGCCTGAGCAAGAGCGAGACCCCGTCTCTACTAAAATTAGAAAGAAATTAATTGGACAACTAAAAATATATAGAAAAAATTAGCCGGGCATGGTGGCGCATGCCTGTAGTCCCAGCTACTTGGGAGGCTGAGGCAGGAGGATCGCTTGAGCCCAGGAGTTTGAGGTTGCTGTGAGCTAGGATGACGCCATGGCACTCACTCTAGCCAGGGCAACAGAGTGAGACTCTGTCTCAAAAAAAAAAAAATGGATCATTAATGGATGTAGCTACTGTCTGCTTGAGTATCTCCCCCAACGTTGGACTTTCCCACTCTATGAAGTTAATCACTACTGTAAGTTTGGTATGTAAGCTTCTAGTTGCTTTTGTGTCTTCATGTGTAAATATGTGTACCCATAGAAAATCTAGAGAATTAAGCTGGGTGGTCAGTATAATATTCTTTTTTGTATATTTAA